ATATATATATATAAAGAAAAAGAACAAATAGTCGAATATTCACACTGACAGTCGACTGATAAAATCCTTAGTCCGTTACAGCTCTAGTTCCTGACAACAGCTAAGAACACCATCTGGCTCTTTAGCTAATAAATGTTCACTGTTTATTAGAGCTCATTTGTTAAAGCAGCTGTCTGCTGCTGCTGGAAACTGTTCAGATAAAAACCAAACCAGTGAGCTCAGAGACAGCGTCATAGAGAACCACAATCAGTCAATAATTCTCTGTGACTTTGTCAGAATCAGCAACCCCTTTCACAACAGCAGTTGTGGGTGGCTGTGGCTTACGAGGTAGGGCAGTCGTCTTCTAACCAGCAAGTTGGTGGTTCGACTCCCGGTCTCCCCGCATGCCTAAGTGTCCCTGAGCAAGACACTGAACCCCAAATTGCTCCCGGTGGTTCGACTGGCGCCAGTGTGCGGCAGCCTCTCGTCATCGGTGTGTGAATGTGTGTGTGAATGGGTGAATTTCAGCTATTAAAATGTTCAGCTCTTCAAGGACATTCATGCTTCTTTTCAGAGGTTTTCTAAACATCATACATTTGAAATATTTAGCTTTATTTTGAAATTTTTGCCCCATTCAAATGAATGGGGAAATTCTAACTCAGCATAATTTCAGCTATTTCAGCTATCAAAATGTTCAGCTCTTCCAGGACATTCATGCTTCTCTTCAGGATTTTTTTAAACCTAATAACTTTGAAATATTTAGCTTTATTTTGAAATTTTTGCCCCATTCAAATGAATGGGGAAATTCTAACTCAGCATAATTTCAGCTATTTCAGCTATCAAAATGTTCAGCTCTTCCAGGACATTCATGCTTCTCTTCAGGATTTTTTTAAACCTAATAACTTTGAAATATTTAGCTTTATTTTGAAATTTTTGCCCCATTCAAATGAATGGGGAAATTCTAACTCAGCATAATTTCAGCTATTTCAGCTATCAAAATGTTCAGCTCTTCCAGGACATTCATGCTTCTCTTCAGGATTTTTTTAAACCTAATAACTTTGAAATATTTAGCTTTATTTTGAAATTTTTGCCCCATTCAAATGAATGGGAAAGATCTACTTCTGCATACTTTCAGCTATCAAAAGCATTCAGGTGTCAAAACGTTCAGCATTTTCAGGCCGATCTTTCAGCACTCGGCATCCATACGCATTTTCTGAAGAAAATGCAATTCTCTAGTTTTATTAATATTATTATTATTCCGTACGTTTCTTACCGCTTAACTACTTCAACTACAATTTCAGCTAGAAACACCATTCAGGTATCAAAATTTTGCGCTTGTTCAGGACATGCGGGCATCTATTCAGAATTTTCCTAAACTTCATACTTTTTAAACTATTCAGCTTTATTTTGAAAATCTTGCCCCATTCAAATGAATG